TGGGGGAAGGATCCTGGGGCAAGTTCACAGAGAGCTGGCGCTGCCCCACTGCCTGGAATGGCTAGAGGTGGTTCAAAGCGGAGGAAACCCGGGAAAAGGGCTCCCGGGCGCTCGGCGCATCCTGGGGAGAGGGCGCCCCCAGGACCAGTCACTGGGGCAGCTTCTTTCCTTTGCTTCCCTTCTTCTGGAACCAAGTGCCAGGCCGCCCCTCGAGAGGCCTCTAGTCCTTCGGGGAAGAGTCCTGCGCCTCCCCGCGGGGCTGCCCGCTGCCTCCCAGGAGCCCGTGGGAACACGACTCAGAGAGAGCCGAGCTGGCACCGGCAGGCGCACGGGCCAGCCCGGTTCCCGCGGGGCACAGCCCACCCCGCCCCCGCGTCCCCTCCCCTGCCCTGGAGGCGGGCTTAGCTTGACAGGCAGAGTTGCGAGCGACAGCCGCACGTGGTTCCCCTGGATGGTGTCGCGGGCGAAAGGAGTGGGGGACGCCCAGCTGAGCGCTCGCCCGCGCTGGCTTACCCCCGCCAAACGCCGGGCCCCCGGACCCCGGGACAGCACGCGACAGGGGCCCGCGAGAAAAAATCCGATGTTAGAAGCTCAAGTGAGCCCGAGCCGCCTGAAAGCAAAGCTCTGCCCATCATCCGGCGCCTCCTGGGGTCCATCCACCCCAAGCCCTTCCCAAACACCAAACAGAAAAGGGACCTTGCCCACTCTCCCACGCCCACCCCGGCCCGATCCGCGCTGCCTCCAAGTGCCCCACGGGCGCGCGTACTCACCGCTCACCGGGAGGGCTCCGAGCAGCCGCGCGCCTGGCGGGTGCGCCCCGCTGCGCCCCGAAGGCGCTCACTTCGCGCTCCGCGTGGGTAGCGGGCGCGTCCACGGCTGCGGTCAACGCCGGACTGCGGCCGGTGCCCGGCGCGGGGCGAGCGCCCCAACCCCGGCGCCACGCGCTCGGCAGTCCCGGGGCGCCCTCTGCCGGCGGCTTTGGCTTCCAGCGCCCCGGCTGTGCCCTCACAGGCACCCACCTCACCGGGACCGGCTTCCGCATCCACGCCTGGTCCCCCTCTCTTCCCTGTCCCTGACTGCCAGAACCTGGGAAAGGGGGCTCCTCTGCTCGAAATTCCCTAAAAACTGACGAGGGTGAAAAATCCCTTTTGCCGCCACTGCATTCATTGAACCAGTGTATTTTCCTGAGCGCTCACTACATACCGAGGGACAGAATTATTAGCAAGATGCAAGGCGGACTCGCAAAGAGTAAACCGGGGAAAACTGGCATCTACTGAGCAACGTCTGTGTCCCAAGCTCGCGTCTTCTGTCGTCCACCCCTTAAAGAATTCCTTCTCTTCGGCCTGCGCGTCTCCACTTTGCCCGAGTGGAAACTTAGGATCGGAAAGGTGCTCAAAGTGACAGGGCTAATGCGGATGCCGCTGCCTGACTCCCACCTGCGTGTTCTTTTCACCTCCACGTCACTGCCTCCTGGGAACTCAGGAGTCTGTCGCGGGAGCCAAGGAACTAAATAATTACCCCCAGAGCTAACATAGAGGACAGGACAAAATGGAAGCAAGAGGGCTGGGTGGGGATTGCCTCGACCCCCTCCCCTGCTGCCCCGGGTGATACCTGACAGGTCAGACTTCTAGCGAATTTTATGTAAGTGACATCATCCTGCCTTGCAGTGAATTCCAAAACCTGGAGGAATTAAGCACGCAGTTTCTAGGTCAGACTGCCCGGCTTCCCGTCCCTACCCTGCCCGCTGCTGCATGTGCCCTCTCTCCTCTCTGCGCTGGCTTCTCCCCCTGTAAAATGGTGATGATGTAACAGGATTGTTGTAGGTACTAAATGAGATGATGTTTGCGGAGGGCTTGGCACCCAGCTAGGTAGGACCCAGGTAGCCCTTTCCAGGCAGGCACCTTGAGGGCTCATTAGAAAACCAATCATCTTATCTCCTTTAGAACCTCACACCACATTGGAAGCCTGAACCTAAAAAATACTTCCATTCAGTTATCCGGTTCTAACGGCACCTTGGTTTTTAATGTAAGGACCACCTTACTGATGGCAGACCCTCCCGAGCCTCTGCTCCCAGATCTGTCCTCCCACTTCTGCCTCCCTGTCACACAGAGTGATGCCGTGTGTCCTGAGTCATGGTCGCAGACGCACTTTTTTGCCACAAACATGCCCCAGGAACCACATTCTTGCAGAGTCTTAAGCCACACTTAACATAATACTTCCAGATCATTTTCCACAAGGTAGTCATTCCCCAAGCTTCTTGACTTTATTTCATCTTTCTCTCCCTTTTACTAACAAACACAAGGGGAAGGCTATGCTTCTGGTTCAAGACAGTCATGTGAGCCTGAACGTTTAACTCCCCACGTTCTACCCACCTACCCTGAAGTGTTGCCACTGAAATTACCCAGAAATACACAGGGAGGGGAAATTCAGCATTAACCCTGGAAGACAGGGAGTAAAGGGGTGTGGGGATCTTTTTCCTCCAGGGTAAAGGGCAGAGAGGATTGGACTGGAGGATAGGGGACTCCCTGGGGCTTTTCATACGGGAAGAAACCCAAAAAGAACACACTACAAGACTGAGGTAACAGGGGCTGGAAGTCAGGATAAGGCCAACGTCAGGAGTAAAATTTCTGTCTAGTGATTTATCTGAGAAGTGCCCCCAGTGCCCAGGTCCTCCCAGAGCCAGTAACCCTGGCAATGCCCACAGCTCTTTACATTAAAGCCCAGGTAGCGACTGGTCTGCTCTCAGAAGGGGTCACATTCAGTGAAACACCAACTCGACAGCCAAATAAAGTTTGACAGGAAATTTACATATTAACCAAAAACTTGCTGGAAGAAAATCACATTTCTAACACAAATCATATCCTTGTTTCTCTCAAGCTCAGCAGCTAAAAAAAAAAAAAAAAAAAAAAAGCCTTCTTTTCTTTGCTTGAAACATTTCCTAAATTCTTTCCGCATTCTCCCACACTGACCTATGTCTCTTTCTCTCAATTCATTCACCTGAAATATCTAGGTGATTAAATTAACGTGTATCAATTTTATGGTGATTGAGAACTGTTTCTTGTACCAGTAAATTTCAGCCATTTTTATTGTCAGATCACCCGCTCCCCTCCTTTCCGATAACATACCAAAAAAAAAAAAAAAAAAAAAAGCTCAGGAACACAGGACGCAGGTACCTTTAAAGGAGGGAAGACTCTAGGAACAGAATCATTTTGTCTCCTGTCACCAGGAAAACATGAGTTGAACAATTTCTCACCATTCCAGGGCAGACCCCTGAGATCTCTTTCTGGCAAGCTTGAGTCACTGATTTTTGAACGTCATTGCTGATAAAACAGGAAAGGGTAAAATGTAGGTGAAATCTCAGGGGGGTTTTTTCTTTTTTTTTTTCACTTTTCAGAGACTGTGAATTTCAGAGGAACTTACAATTTGGCTAGAGGTTTGGGTTTTTTCCATATTTTCTCTCTTGAAGCCAAGGTAAAACAAAACCTTCCGTTTTGTTCTATAAAAGTCTCTCCCACAAACATTAAGAACTGAATATAAATGCAAGCAGGTATTAGCATTAGATCATGCTGGGAATGTAAACCCTAGCACAAAAGCACCTTTGTTTCCCAAATTGGCACGTCTTTTTAAACTCTGCGGGTGATTTATGCACTGCAAGGGGAAGGGAATTCAAATAATGCTTTTGAACAAATATTTTTTATTGGGAGTTTGTAAGAGTAAGTGAATAGAGAAGGCACACTATCCCTAGGGGAGCTTAAGGTCATAAAAGACTAAATAAAGCGACTGAACTGCCAGGTATAACAAATGATACCTTCGGGAAGCTTCAGGATTATTAAAGGTAATTTTATACCAAAAGAATGACTGTTTGTAATGTTGGTGAAAAGAGAGAAGCTTGGCTGAACTTGACTAAGTAACTCGGATGCTTGTTTCAGACCATAAATACAACTTCTCTGAAATTCCTCGTCCCGTGCCAGAGTTTCCGCTCCTGTAGTTTATTATACGATTCAAAAATCAATTCGTTTGTTATATTGCATGTTTGCTCTTGTTGCCTCTGTTCTTGGCCCTCTTTTCCCCTTTTCCTCTTTTTTTGGCTTCTGTAGGCTAATCTGAGTAGTTTTGTGATTGCTTTTGTTTTCCTTTATTGCCTTATTTTCTGTCATTCTTTGTTTTGCGATTTTCATGGTCGCTTGAGGGT